GAAATTTAATCCGTTATACGCTTAGCAAAATTAAATACGTGGACAGACAAACGTAATTTACCAACTATATATTCCCTTTATATTCAAAGTAAAAGGGACGCCAAGATGCTGAGACGATGAGATGCTGGCGTGTTGGCTTCCTATTCCCCGGAAGGAGTCAATCATTGCACCTTAATGGATTCTGTGCTGAAGCCAGGGCACAATGGCGTGGGTCGTAATGGACTCAGGAATTGATGTACCAGGAGGCGAACTTGGTTTCCAAACTAGAGGTAGCGATACAGGGGGTGACCGAGAGCGCTACTTCATACGAGGGAACTGGGAAACCTTGTTCCAAATTTTATGATCAGACAGTTGATTTTATATACTAGTTCACATTCCCGTCTCTACCTATGCTTAATGCGGTGCATCCAGCATTAAGATCAGCTGCGTTAACCGTACGGAATCTAATTTTCCATTTCTGTTGTCTCCAATTGGGCTAGTTATGTGTCTTATGTAAGACGGTGATAAAACCATGCTTTAGTCACGTGTTCGAACAAAAGTTGATTTAATAATAACAACAACAGCAACAAGAAATTAATTATTTGACACGTTCACAAGCCTGCGAGGAGCCTATTAGCATCACTCCATTCGTTCGTCTGTCTGTCCGTCAGTACGCATAAAATAACCCGAAAATGGACAAACCGATTTTGATTACATCTAGCAAATATTTAATAATTTCATGCTACGTGTGAACAACCCCCCCTCCCCCCCCCGATCTTAATTAAATTTAAACTGCGTGGAAAACAGGGTTGTTTTATTATGTTAATTTACCGCTCCGTTGCAATACAAATTGGAAATGTAGGCACTAAACAATTTATATCCACTCAATTTCATTTCATAGTCTGTATAACGAACAGCAAAGCCCTAGTATTGTTAACTTGTAACATAATTTTGACGTCTCGCTAATCGGAATAAGTACCTACTAACAGTGAATTGTTGAATGCGTATTTAATGCTTGTTTATTAGCGCTGTATGTATTGGTGAAAAATAGCTCACAATGGTTTTATAAGTCAAAAGTGCTTAGAAATAAATAACAATTTACTCTGATAATATTTAACTAAATTATTATTAAGCATCTCAAGAAAAGTGTAAGTTCGATTGCTAGTGAAAATGACAAAAATACAGACGTTTTGGAAGATTTAATTTATATTGAAGAATTTCTGTTGCCCTTAAACAGAAATAGGCGTAACTAATGAAACAATGGTATACTTCTACCACACTACACGTCGCAATATCCCGAAAGACAATCACTTTCAAAAATAAATCGAGCTGAACCAAAATCAAGCAGCAGGAAGTAGGCCTTTAACAGAAAAGGAGTGGTTTTCCCCAAAACGCCTTGCTGATGCGGCAACTTCTTCATCACATAAAGTAGACGGGCAGCATAACACGCATTTTTACGTGGCTTGCTCAATCTCATGACTCATGCGACTGTTATTTTGCATTTATATCTAGACCAACATCCCTGTAGTCCTTAAGAGAGTTCCTGTGTTCGCTTTTATAGTATTTATATTATCGCTCAACCGATTAATATCATCATCCAATTAATTTATGAAAACACAACAGATACTGCGTGAACTTTCAGGTTCTCACCGCCATCAGCTATCCGGCCACCGCACCACATCGAAAATGAAGAATGTTGCGGCAGGAAAACCGTAGCTGTGAAACGTCCGCACTTGCGCTCGCTTCCTACTGAAACAGTTCGTTCCATCAATGCGGCAGGAAAACCGATGCGGCCCAAACCTCTCGTGAGGCCGCCGGCGGCTCACACGGTATAGAAATTGTTCTTAAGATTTTATAACGAGGTCGGAGTCGGTACATTTTTACCGACTCCACAGCCCTGATTTATGAACACAGTAATGAACCTTCAGGTTTGGTAAAAGTGGATAATAAGAATGTCTTGACAGTTGATTAACTGTTATCTTCTCAAGGACTATTTTTTATGAAGTCTGCCAATAAAAACCAGCAATATTTGGGCAATGGGTGACAAAAGCAAAGCAGCAGAAAATAAATAGAGAACTTTTAGCTGCATACACATGTTTAAATAAAAAAAATGCTGAATTACAGGACAAAAATCAGCATGGTTCAGAAAACTATATACAGAAAGAGATGGGGAACAGTTAGTAGGATAAATGGATGAAAGCAAGTAAACGCCAATATATTTCAGTATCTTCCATGCTAAATTTCAGATGAGCATACAGATGGATGAGCAGGCAGACATACGTACGTATGTACATACATACAAAGCACACTTTCAGTGAAAAAAACACAAGTGGACTAAATATAACCCATGAATTGATAACAGCTGTGAAAACAGTGTAGAGTGCCTGCAGAAATGTGAAATGTTATTACTATTGCAGCATCTACAAACTTTCACATTCTCTTATAATTTGAAGAGTAAATACTGTAATTGCAACAATGAAGATGATGATGGTGATAATGATAAGTTTCATGTCCTAAGGTACAATCTGCGAAAATGTTATGTAACTTACAGTTGTCCAGCTCTGAAGTCTGAAGTAATCAGGGTGTTCTTCCATTTCATCCCAGTCTTCTATATGCACTGCTTCTCTGTAGTCTTGCATTCACTTAAAGTCTGTTTAAAACAATTCTACGCTTCTTGTCCTTTCTTTGTTCAAGGTGTTCACTATTGTCAATGTGGTACTTGGTACCGATCCCTACTCTTTGCAGCACATTCATTGAAAGTTTCCACGGCATCAAATAATCAAAGTGAAACATGTTGATGACTACAAATACTGTCTTTAAATTTCTTGCCCGCACAGCACTGCCGACATTCATTCAGATTCCTGGCTTGGCTACAGAGGCACTTCCCACACAACTTCATGATAAAACAGATTTCTAAAAATTGAGTTTTGCTTTCCCATTATGGTTAGAGATAAACTATGTAGGTGATTATATATTGTACCATTTTTTTGTTCGCACTTCTACATCGTTTTTCCAACATTGCCAGACTCATGATACAGTATCAATGCTGATAGCTGTCACTACACAATTCAAGCAAGTCTAGCCTATCTCTGCCCTGTACCATCGAAATCTGCTGTTATTTTCAATGGACAGCAAAAAAGTATTTTACATTCAGAAGAGGGTTATTAGAATAATGCCAGGCACTAAAAGGAGAGTCTCTTGTAGGGAATTATTTAAGAAGTTTAATATTCTTCCACTACCCAGTGAATTCATGCTGTCACTATTAACATTTGTAATGGATAACATGGAAATATTTCAAATAAATTCAGATATCCACAATATAAGAACAAGATACAGATACAACCTTCATGTGGGGAATTATAACCTCAGTAAATATCAAAAAGGAGTTTACTGTACTGGAATTAAGTTATTCAATAATCTTCCACCTATTATCAAAAGTTTAAATCACAATATAAAAATGTTGAAGCCAGCATTAAAAGAGTTACCTCCTATCTCACTCCTTATACTTAGTAGAAGAATTTACATAACCCAGAAAGTCTCAACCATTATAAATACATGTAAGTAATAATGGTGATGGTTTCTCATCGTAATTATCTTGCTGCAATACTGTAGTTCCAAAAAAATCTGTAAATAGCTGTTATAACTATGTATTTACATTTGTACTAGAAACAAGTATTGTATTTGTTCTACATCCTTGGCTTAGGCATATGAAGGATCTATCGAATGTAAATAAATTCTATTCTATGGCTGACATTTTCAGTTACAGTTTACTTTAAATAATCCAGAGTCATATCTTCCATAGCAGTCACAGTTTCTATGTAGTACTTCCCAAACCTTTTTTCAGTGGTAGTTAGTCCATAATTTCACAAAGCTGTTAACAGGTGCTATGCCCTTTCCAATTTATGTAGTCCATACACTGAACTAATGTTAACTGAATACTGCTCACAACTATTACTTATTTACATGCTGCTACTCGCTTTTGTGTAATTCTGTACACATATTTACAATGCATGTTCATTCATTTCAAATGACATGACTTCTATCACTCTGTTTACAAATTACACTATTCTAACATACACAGCTTCTTTCCTATCGCCACATTCTGTCACTAAGTCGTACTTTCATCACAATTTTTCAACTTTTACTGTAAAGAACCAACAAGTTTAATAATCGAGTTGGTTGAATTTTGAATACCGACACAGTATTTGTCTGTATGAAGGTTAGGACTAGGCCTTCGCTTAATTTCTGCAGCAGGCACTATGCTACGTTTTCGTGTGTTTCATTAATTTAAATAGCTTATCGTAACTGCTTGATATGACTGATAATTATATAAGCTGATATTCGGTCTGAAACATTTTCTAAAACATAACTTTACTGCACAAACACAACTACGAATTAAGCACACATTAAACCACAATTTAAAATATGGATGCTTGGTTATACAGGTTAGCCACAATAATGAAATTCCCTTCACATAATGAAAATCTCACTCTAAAGCGGATCTTTCAAAAAGGCTATAATGAAATTTCGTCCATGAAAGTGATATGTGGGTTAGAAACACACCCCTTTCATGACAATGCATAAATAGTATCCCACTTAAAAACTGAATGCTGCAGATTAATGTCACATTAAGATAAAAAGAAATGTAATTATTTGTCATCCTACTGGATCCTCATGAATAATGTCCCTTGGATTTTACTCAGATTTCAGCACGCATATTTTCAACTGATGGTGAAAATCTGAAAGTATGAAGTGAAGCTATTATATGGAAGCTAGATTGCTTCATGTCACAGCTTTTTAGAAAAATACAATGACTTACAATAACATTAACGTCTAAAATCTTAACCTTTTCTTCTAAGAATTTTGCCATTTTTATAGTTTCCCTGTTTCCTTACTTAAAACTTCTTAAATATTTCCAATCCCCTCATAAAATTCTTTGTGACAACCAATTAAAGTCTCTTTCTGACATATTTTCTGTATGGAAAACAGGAAGCGGAAATAAATGTGCGATAACTGGTTATGCTTTTATTTCATTTGTTCTTAAATAAATATGTTTTCATCATAATTAAATCCTTGTAATAAATAAAATAACTTAACAGTAGATACCATGGCTTCAGCCACACTACTCAGCAACTGTCATGGTTCTTCAAGTCTTTTCTTAGTGGCTGTAGCCTCAACTCCATAGGTGACACCACACACAGACCACTTCACTGCACTTGAAACTTGCGGTGTCTGACAGAAAGTATCTCAGGCCATGCAGACAAATGCTTGTCATGATAAGGCTAACAATGTTCACAAAACCCACAATTAGATTAATTCATGAAGAATCAATGAGGAGACATTATATTGGAAGCTGGAAACTGAGCTAAAGTTCAGTACATTGTATACTTAGTGACCATAGTAAGTGGTCAGTTTATTAGCCCAGAATTATTAAATTATTGCAGTGAACACATATATACACCTGACAAAAAATCAGCTGTAGTTAATGTCAACAAGATGGCAGAAACAGTCACTTGTAAATGGAACATCAAGCATAAAGAAATCGGATTAAAAATGACTAGGAAAATCAAAACACCTTTTCCAGTCAACCATAGTAGCATGACATAACCTTTGTCCAGGGAAACTTCATTCTTGATGTGCCCAAACACAGAGGCAATAATGAATATGAACACTGCAGAATGTACATAGTTTTGGTTTATACTTTCCATTATGGCATCAAGTCATTTCAGGGGTCTGGACCAGATCTCAAACTGAAAAGCAGATTCTATTTGGAACTGTGATTATAACAGATATATGTTACAGAATGTAAACAAAACTGAAGTTATGTTAGAAAGTGACATCTACTAAGCAATATTTTCAGAAACTTGACAAAAGAAATTATGTGTACAGAGATTGCAGTTTGACGAAAATTCCATAATGCACTCTTGTTTAATTGTTCCATTTACCATTAACCTTCATTGTATAGAAACAGGAGATTTAAATCTTGTATTATGGAACCATAAACCAGATTTTAACTTTAGCGGCTTAATGGTATTAACATACTACTGTAATGCATTGCTACCTGGGCCCATGCATAAGCAATGACACACAGCAGATAAAGGTTAATAAACATACAAATAACACCAACATTCCTGATGGTTAGTCAATTATAGCATATCATATTGTGTTTATGAAAGGAATAGATTTATATTATGGTCAGATAAATCCAGGAAGACTTGCATTGTACTGAGGTGTAGAAGTCTCTGTGTGAGCACTAAAAACAAGTTGAATCATTCAGAAGTAAGGAATATTGGCTTAATTATGTTCAGACTGATATAATTAGCTGGCAGCAATCTAGGAAGACATGATTTGTTACAGCAGTATGAAGTAGCTGCATCAACCCAACAATATATATGTTTATGACACAGTAGGACATTTTGAAGAACCTGCATTTGGCAAAAATAAAAATAAATACCATATGGTACCTGAGATCTGAATTTCTCATAGTGGTAAAGATGTCAGTCATGGTCTTCTGGGTTGTGCTGCCGTATAGTTTTGTAGGTGGCTTCCAGTGTTAGTAGAAACCTAAAAGAACACGTGGCATCACAGCCCAGCAAACCATGACAAACTAATATAGTACTACTTTGAAGTAAATACTTGGCAGATGGAACTTAAGTGAAGATCCAACTTTCTATCAAAGTTTCGTTACGAACGCTAAGGATTCCAAAAATCCACTAATAACAAACATGAATTCAATGATAACATCACTTAGTATCCACAATATTGTGTGTCAGTGTTTCATTTGTTCAAGCATGTATAAGTTATATCCAGGTAGCAGTTCAATTTACGCCAGTTATGGCATGCAGCCAGGGCTTGTAGTATGTGGTACGCATGTAAACTCCGGGCAGATATGGAGCAGCACACTTTATTCCATGTGACACTGTCCCAACCAGCACCCAGCGGCCATCTTCTCGCTCCAGCATTAGAGGACCACCACTGTCACCCTATGAGCAAATATATCCAACAGTCAGATACATGTTCACATACTGTGGAACTCAAAGCGATGGAAGTGGCATATATTAATAAGCATATGTTTGTCAAAAAATGCTAGTATATTACATAAGTTAAAAATATGATAAGAAATTTGTTTGTGAAGACATGAGACAAGAACTTTGAATCCAACTCTTTATTAAAACATATCTTCCTCTCAAAGTTTTAGGTTAGAAACATGATAATAACTCTGTGAATAAAACTGTTCAATTACAGTATGGAATACGATTTGTGTCTCAGTTTATTGAAAGATCATTAACCAGTGTGGTTTTTGATCTCAGACTGTGCCCTCAATTTTAACTGAGCTTTGATTATGTTTGGCTTAATTTCAAATGTTGTTAAAATATGGTAGAGAGACATGAGCATTACCAAACATGCTAAAAAATATAAAAGTTCATAAATATTCTTGACAGGAAGACTTCTAAATAACACACTGTATCACATGAGCCAGGGATGACAAATGATATGCTGGCATCCCATCAGTTAAAAAATTACATTTGTGTTATCTGGAATACAGCATGTGTCAGAAACCTATGTCTGACTTAATTATGATGGCACATTATATATAGGCTGAAACCAATGATTCACACCTCACATGAGTCCTTCTGTCCATTGGCATAGCCTGCACACAGGAAGCTATTGAGGATAACTTTGGAGTGGCCCGCAGTGTGGAACATCTCTTGGCACACACTGTTCTCTATCACTGGCACCTGCACTTCCTGCAGCAAGTTTGGTACTCCACCCCCTAGAACAACAACATGTCTCTTTACTGTTCTCAAGGGACATAATTACTCAAACATAAATGGATGAGCCTTCATGACACCTGATACATTTTGCCAATGGAGACATTAAATTTTGAGAAATGCTCCAGAATTTTTGCACTACACACACATTGACTATATTGTTATATTTTTTTAACCCACAGTCCTATAACTATGCTTACCATATTTAAGACGACCCCATCCAGTGACTGTTGCCATCCTGCCAGTGAAGTCTTCCTTGTCATGTGGCATGCAGATGGGCACAATATGCTCATCAAAGGCCACAGGTGACTCCAGTTCCAGGAGTGCCAGGTCATTTGCAAAAGTGGCAGCATCATATTGTCGGTGCACAACAACACGTCGTATGTTCTTCATGACTGAACGACGTGACTCAAGTTCCCCACTGATGTCAAACTCACCAAAGACTGCCACAAGATTTGCCAAAAATCTGGACAAGTAAACAAATGTAACAGACTGTATCCATCCACCTTTCTGCATTTGGAAGTAAAAATTAAAGTAACAGGCTTCTCCAATGATTAAAGAAAAAAATCTATGTGGAATAACCACCATCAATTGTATGCCAACATGGATTTCCTTTCTTTGACAAGCAACAGTTAGAAAACAAATGTTTATTAACCAAGGAACCAAGTACTTTAGTTGTCATATTTACCCAGGCTGACAGTGCGCAGCTGTGGTAACATAGCGTGAGGTAATAAGCACACCACCACACTTGTTCTTGGTGAACAGTCCAAGCCATGTGGATTCTCGCACTAGTACTTGCCATGGCCACTCCCCAAAAGTGGCGCCCTTTCCACCCACAATACGTCCAGTCTTCTTCATGAGGGGCCTCACCCCACACTCTGGAAAACACAAGCTGTTATAAAGCAGTGGCCAGCAAACCATATACTACATTTATAAATTGGTATGATGCAGGAAGTTTATTTTAAGAGGGAACTGAATATCACTTGTTACTTTAACCTTAAATTTAACACTTAAGAAAAATTAATTATTCACTGTCATCATACAAATCTACACCTTAGAACAAAGGAAATATTAAATATATCTCTTTAATTGCATCCTTCAAATATGTCTGATACCACATTCATGCTTTAAAGAAAATGCAGGTTCAATTTTAATTAATCTAGATTAGGACTAATACTCTTAGAATTCATAAAAAATGCGCTTTTTATTCTTTTCATAATGCTAAAACTGAGCAAGAGTTCCAAAAATGAAACCTGTTGCATGTGAATATTTTGACAGACATTTAGTATTATCATCTTGCATTCACTCACCATGCTTATAGTCAACAGGATGAGACGAAGTTGTGAGGTCCTCATCATTGGTTGTCAATGTGTAGTCCAGCAAGGTGGTTGGCTCCTCTGTTGTTGATTTAGTGGAGGTTACATCATCTTGTTGCAGCAGGAGCTGTGTGGTTGAGCTTGTTGTTGTACTTCTCTTGGTCGTCACTTTCACAGTGTTCCCAGGTCGATATGTGGTGGATGGGCGTGATGGCTGCTGTGAAGATGGTTTTGGACTCTGAGAAGGCCTTATGCTTGTTGGCCTTGGCCGTGGTGTCTGCGAAGGTCTGGAAGATTGTGTGGTTGGTCTGAGAGTTTGTGTGGGTTTTATACTGGGTCTGAGAGTTTGTGTGGGTTTTGTACTGGGTCTGTTTGTTTGTGTTGTCTGTAAGGGTCTCACATTGGATGGTCGAGTAGTTGGCGAAGGCCTAGGTCTCGTAGTCAGCGTTGGCCGTGTTGGTTGAGGCCTTAGAGTCTGAGGTCGTGATGTAGTAGAAATGCTGGGCTTCTGCACAGGAGTCAAACCTGTGACTGTTGGTCTACGTGTTGTTGTTACCTGGGTCGGTCTTTTTGAAGTTGGGGGCCTCCTTGTTGTGGTGATAGAAGTGGTTGTCACATTCTTCCCACTGTGCAACACCTCCTCCAAGTCCTGGAAGTTACCATCAAGAGACAGTACAATCTTGTCTACAAAGGTCTGCAACTTGTTGTTCAACTTGTCATCTTCCACAAACATGGGAGTGGGAATGTCATCCACATTGAACAGGTCCTCAGGGTTGGGAGGCAGAACCACTGGGGGACGCTCATGCTGCGTCATATTGAAGGAAGGGTTCCTTACAGGAGGGAAGTTGGCCAGATGGTCTGCTCCTAAAGTAGTTTCTGGATAGTCAATTGGGGTTGTTACCCATGGTAGATTGCTGACTATTGTAGTACCTGATGTGGGCCGATTTGTCACTCCTGGACTGTTAGTCACAAATATTGTTCCTGTGCTAGGTCTGCTGCTGGTAACTTGTGTAATACTTGAAGTGGGCCGAATTGTGAAAGATGATGTTCCTAAGTTGGGCCGATCTGTGAAATGTGTTGGTACAGGGCTGGGTCGGTTTGTGCTCTGTGTTATGCTCAAGGTTGGTCTAAAAGTAAACTGTGCTGTAGACAGGTCACTGTAATGTGTTGTGGGCCTATTAGTGAATTGTGTAGAGCTGGGCCGTGAAGTTATTAAGTTTGGCGTTGTGCTGGAGGGCTGCTTGGTTATAAAGAAACCTGTAGATGGTTTTACTGTAGATGGTCGCTTTGTTACCAAAGTAGAAGTTGTAGAACTGATCTTATTGCTGCTTGTAATGATGGCAGGCCACTTAGTGGAAGAAGTGGCTGTTGTGGTGACATCAGATGAAAATGGGCCAAGCACAATGACAGTAGGTGCAGGTCTCGAGGTGCCCTGCTGGGTTGTAAAGACATCAAATGATGGTCCCACCACATGATGTGAGCTTGTGCTGCCAGATGATAAACCTGGCCATAGAGTGGTATGGGATTGTGGAGGCTTGCTGTAGCCTGTAGTATCAGGTTTCCATGATGTTGAAGGAGAGGGCTTGCCGTTCACAGCAACCCACGTGGACAAACCCGCAGGTGACGAATTGCCCAGTGAGATGATCTCAGGTTCAGGCTCAGGTCCTGGATCGACCAGGCCACCGCCTGTGTCGTTGAGCAATGAGATTATGTGATTGATGGACTCTGGGTTCGGTATTGATTCAGGGCGCTTAGTTATGGTCGGAACGAGAATAAGTCCCTCGTCGTATTCGTGCGATGGGGTGGGGTGTGGTCTGAACGATGTCGCCCACTTGCTAGCCGTCGAGTAATAAGTCGGTGTCACAGACATTGTGCTCTTCTCCTCTGGGTGGTATTTTGGCGTTGACGGCTGTTCGTCCACACTGTTGCTCTGCACATAGCTGAACGTGCTCAGATCTGGCTGCAGCGTAGTGCCTGAACTCGGCCGATTTGTCTCTGCCACAGGATGATCGAGGCCGCCTGTGAGGAGCACCGTGTCGGCGTCAGGGTGGGCCGACACGTGTAGGAAGGGGTTGTGCAGTAATTCGTTGATGGAGGATGACTCCATGTAATCGGGTCGCTTGCTGGTCGCGACGATGGAATTGGGATTGTCGGGTGGAAAATTAGCTACGTTATCGAGCAGCAGGTCGGTGTCGGGCAGCTCGAAGGTTTGTCCGGGGGGTAGACGGCAGCACGCGCCGAAGAGGAACCCGTCCATACACGCCCCCACTACTTCACCCTCTCGTGCCGCACACTCATAGTTAAACATGCAGATACCGAGATTCTCAGAGTGGGCGTCGCTGTCAGGCCGGCACGGCTTCGGCACGATCCTGTACCCGCCGAACAGTTTGCGACCTGCAAATAGAAATTGTAACTCCTGTTCTTGAGAGCAAACAAGTCTCATGCCCTACGGTGGACAGAATGAAAGCTGGGTCTTCACATAATTTTTTTAGGCGAAAGTCAAAGATCAAGAAACAAGCGACTAGAGTCCGTGTGTCGCACCTTATCGACGTGGCGTCACTCACGCATTTGTTGTGTCTGTCGTAAGGTATACATAATCTAGGAACACAAGTCATGACTTGTGATGGATCAGGAATAATATTTTATCCCTGTAGCCTGCAAAATCCCAGACACTACTGTTAAACAATAAACCAATTGATATTATACAGATGTTTACAATAGACACGCAAATATTATAGATGTACTTCGACTGGCCTATCACTATGGGTCTATGTTTTCTCTACCTGATCTGTTTTATAAAAGATATTTCTCATCTCACATGAAACACAGACTTAGTGGTGGCATCAGCGAGTTTCCAGCTTGTAACATAGAAGCGTAACAAACGACTGTCGTTTTTCGTAGTTCCGCAGCTTGAACTCGGTAATGTTACTGAAGAAAACATCTGAACGCACTCCAAACAATTTACTGGTCACGGACATGTTGTCAGGTGTCGCATGATGGTCTGCTGCAAGTGTTACAGTCTCGAGTCGTAAGCATTACTCACAGCGCAGAAATTGGTATGAATGGCGAGGCAAGATCAATTTTCGCGGAGTCAATAGTGTCCAGTTCAAACATTAAGTCCCGGCATATAAACAGCTGCAGACCTACTGCGGAAAACCAATTATTTAAGCTACCTACAAATTGCATACAGAGTAGACCTGACTTTTAAGACGTAACCCAGTAACAATCACGTTCTACGCTTCATACATCAAGTCAGAAGGAGGTCCTCCCACGTACAGGCTCTTCCAATCTCCACTGTGACCAAGAGTCAAGTTCACCCTGGTTTCAAGGTCACTGCTCAGGACAATTTCGCAAAAGTTGTGCAGGTGCAAGCACGTATTTACGAGCAGAACGTATATTCATTCTCAAAATCGTATGCTGCTGTTCGTGAAGCATCGTATCCTGATGCTAAAGTACCGTATAAGACAACAATATATAGAAGAAACAGTTTTTTCGAATAACCCGTGAAGCACGGAGGAACCGAAACACAGTACAGAACAGACTTATATCAGCATTGACACAGAAACACTTAGCAAAGTCGTTACGAAACACACTAAAAACGGTTGACGCTTGTCTTCGAGGATGTGGTAGACATTTTCAGCATCTGCTGCAGAGCTATTTTAAGTTCTTCTTAGCAAACAGAAAGAAGAACACAACTCCTTTGTCTTGTTGAACTGTTGTCAACCAGAGCGAACAGATGCTATTATAGATAGAGTTGTGTTTTAGATGTAACATTCTGTGCAAGAATTAACATCCACTGAACGGCGACTGTCGGCTGAAAATCCTTCTTAATTTGCGTCTGCTCAATCATAGTGACAATATTTTAAAACTAGGTAGAGTTCATAAGAGAAAGTGGCATGGGCATGCAGGCAGAGATGAGAAATGTAATACATTTTAGAACGAAACACAGGAGGAGAGACCGAGGCGTAGATGAGTGACAATACTAATACTGGCTTTATAGAAACAGGGTGTTCTGATGCCGACTAGATTAATTAATATATCTCAGTATAGGATCCAGCACGGTTCTATGGTAATGAACCTTCGTAATGCATAGAAGGTGGGAAAATATCTCAACTACCTGAACGGCTATTATCATCTCAAGGAGGATAGTAGCCAGTGTTAGTACGGTGTGCAGAAGGATGTTTGCAACGTGAGCAGTAGCCAGTATAAATAAGGTTACGTATAATATTTGAAAAGTTAATAGTCGCCATTATCAAGATAATCTGCGCGGTGCTACACGGAGCGTCTTATCTTGATGCTCGGAACCACGGTACGAAAAAACAGTTGCGCATAGGCAACCGAAGTATGTCGCTTCAGAAGTAACATCACTCGAAGAGAATGGGAACTGCTGTGTTTTGGAGATAGCATGATAGCCTGTTCGTATTTTTAAAAGCCAAAACTGTTCTCTGAAGCTTTATTTAAATCATTTATGTATATATTTGCATGAATTTATTCAACAATCTTTTCTCAAATGCATCGGTTATATAGCGGGGAATGTACTATTTCCATTTTTCAGTGAAAATGCATTACGAAAACTATGCCTGCCTCAGTATTTTCTACACTGCCTTCTATATCAATACTCATTTATCTGCTGTTAACCCAACTTTAGAAGCATTTCAAGAGTCCTTCTTCAGCAGTAGCCTATACTTGGTTGATTGCTGTATCAAACACATTTCTGAAGTGACAAATGTCGTAGTAAGATGGCTATCTTCTAGGTGGTAGAACCGTGTAGTCTGGCAGAAATTTACCATCGTTTCAGAGTTCCTTGTCCTGATGATTGAGGCAGCAAGAACCTCTGAAACGTTGATCAATTTCTACCATACTACACGGTGCTAAGCTCAGAAAACTGCATCTGGCCTATCACTCCTCTTTGTCTGTCGAATGTTGTGGGACAAAGAATGAGTTATAAACAATAAAACAGGCCGGCGAATGGCGCCAGGACACACTTACTGTCAACAGGGTCCTGGTAGTCTCCAGTCGCCCAGAAGCAATACAGCAGCAACAGCAGCAGTGCCGCCCCGGACTGCGCCATAAGTCCTGCAACACGCAGTGCTCACGTAAGCAGACTAACAGGTAACGGAGAAGATATTAGTTTATTTAAATACGCTTTCACAGTTAAGTTACTGGGCATGGGTGTCGAATGACAAGTTGGGGATAACAATGACTGTCTTGTGGTGTGTTGTGCCGTGTAGTCTGGTGGAAATTTACCAATGTCTCAAAAATGCTTGCTGTGTGATAAATGTTCGTGTGTGTACATGCATGAGTATTTTCACAGACATGATAAAATTCGGCCTTAGCTAGCTACGAAATTTATGAATAAGAGAAAGAATTTTTCAAAAATTCAGTCTGTGTAGAAGATTTTTTCTTCAAGGAGATAAATAATAAGAAACACAAATAAATAGACTTTAATTAACTGAGTAGTTTGTATTTACGGGTCGTCCATTATTCTTGGTATAAACAGGGGTTATTTCCTTAAACAACACTAACAAACCCATATTTGTGAAGGTAGGGTTATGTTTTCTTTGAAGTATGGACTGAATTCTTAATATTATTCAGACAAGCTTCGGTCTCAAAGGGCTAACGAAATGCTCGTAAGTGAACAACAGCGAGGAGCAAATAATCGACTTACGGAACAATTAATGTCTTGTTACTCAAGATGCACCACAGATCGAATTTAGCTACAAATATGCTTCCACCTGTAAAAATTTGTCAATAAGGAAAGAGCGGTAAGATTAATATACCTTTCTCTTTGTACCATTAAAACTACAAAATTATAGCAATATTTCTGTTTTCTCTTTGCTACCTTTCCTTCAATTTCCGTTGCCTCATGACAATCATTTTTCTCATTTTAATCCTCTGTCTTTTGTTCTTGGGTTCATCCTCCATCTTCTTTCTTATCTTCATTTCATCTGTTTCCTTTGTACTTATAGTCATCGTGTTGCATCACGTCTTATTCCTTCAGTGCCTTCGTATTTCTTTTACCTTACTGCTCTCAACTTCTCTTTCTTTCTTCCGACTAGTCCGTTCCTTACTCGTCTTCTATTTTTCTACGCCCTCCTTCCTTTTATTTCTGATACATCAATATCCTACATTCCTTAATCCTCTGAAGCAGAAGCTCGTCTAAATAATATTCAAGTATTCAGTCGTACCGCAAAGGAAACAACTCCTCACCATTACAATGATCAATTAGTTAATGTTGTTTAATGTTAGAATCATACCTGGGATACTGGGAGCGACCCGTTCTTCAAGTGCCTGAACACTGCGGGTCCCAACTTTTCGTTGGCTTGATCTATAGACACTCCTTGGACGAGGGCTCGGCCCGTCGCAAGGCCTCTATCTGTTCACAGCACAGCACAACACAGAAAAACGCGGACAAACATCCATGGCTTGAGTGGGATTCGAACCCACAGTCCCAGTGACCAAGCGGCACAAGGTCCACGCCTCAGACCGCGCGGCCACTGCGGACCCCTAGAATCATACCAGACCCATAAATACAAAACCCATAATTAACTGACTCTTTAGGTGACACAGTTCCCACTGGGCTTTAATGGGCTAACACGTGTGACAAACTGCGCTACATAATACCGGTACTCAGTATCAGACACATTCAAACGGGTTCCACGTGGATGCAACTGGACCCCACGAACCAAGATTAAGTGTTGTCTAGCATCTAGCACCTGTGCTGAACTCCGGACCCAAATCTTGCCGTCTCATTTCCACTTAAGGCACGGTCTGCCCAGTCAGCAAAGTGCCTTCACTTAGCAACGGTAACCGCAAAATTGAGGGATTCAATAAGCACTACATAATCTCAAAAGTATTTACACTGCATGGAAACCAACTTTATTTCTGTATAATGATGCGCGGTGTAGACTGAGGTCGTTTACTTGATCAGTGATCCACAGACGTTCCTCGCTCGCGGTACGTCCAAATTTAAAGACATAAAAAGGCACATAAACTTTTATATTGGGGAGTGAGATTTCAGGTTCTCACGGCGGTGAACTACATGACACTATACCTCAAAAGACAACCGTAATGATACTGGGTTTTTTTTTAACTTTGTCAACATACTCCAGTTTTGGTTAAAATCGGACACAAATGACGTCAAATTCTCATGTGCTTTTCTGGGCGTGGTAGTGACTGTTTGAGGAATCCCTAGGGGAATCCCAGCCGCGCAACCAAGAGGATGAAATCTTCTGTGATGACGTTATCACCCACACAGACGCCAAACCCCGTATACGAGAAAGTCACTGACCCCAGACATATCTGACGTCGCCAGTACCAGACGTCGAGGGTAGATTCTGGATACCGCGCCAAAATTGCTGTGTTATGCATACATTTACTAATTTTTTAAGTTGCTGCTTTTAATGATAATTACCATAACTGCCGTAAGTACTTATAATCTGGGATCTACATTAACGCTAGGCTAGACAATGTAAAATTCTTGTGAACAGAAATTTTAAAATTATGCTGGTTTCTTATTGTCACTTGTCAAAAACATGTCATAGTGTAACATCTATATCCGAAATGATAAGCAAAATTTTGTTTGGTGGAGACAGTGAATGTATTTAACTTTGGCATAAGAAATGTTAACAGGCTGCATGTTAAAAAGAGTCACTCAAGGCACGCATTCACTTCTTTGTGGTGTCATTAGAAAATATAACAACATATTAGGAATAGATTTGGCACTTGAAAACTAAGAGCGAACTTTAGCATCTTTATGTAAGCACGCACCTGCGTTCAAGTTAAGTGGCGATCCTGTTAACTGACACTGTTGAATATCTGTAAGGTTCCTTACTGAACGTCAAGGAAGAATTTTTATCACACTTGCCTCTATTTTAGAATGTCCTGGGTTTGAATTTGAGAAAATTCGCAATTGTAAGTAATTCATTCGTAATTTTCTTCCGTCCTAACTAATTATGGTAACTTAGGCCACGCAACACAGTTCATTAAAACTAACAGTACGCTTAGCTACGACTTTTAGGGAACTCAAAGACTCGTTACTGAAATAACAATCCGCCACCGATTTTAACCCTGATCGAGATACGTCCAGTCCAAACTTCCAAAGTCATTTAACTAAGACGTATTTGAATTATCATCATCCTATCCAAGCCTAGTTGTCTCGACCTTTCAGGTTTCCCAATCAGCTTTTTGCACGCATTTCTCATAGCCCCCATGGGAGCTACGTGGCCCCCTCTCATTCCCTTCGATTTCATCATCCAAATGACATTCAATGAAGAACGCAAATTAGGATGTGTCTGTAATTTTCTACAGCCTCCTGCCACTTTATTTCTCTTAAGTCCAAATATTCTCCTCAGTACAATGTTTTCTGATGGCGGAGGCAGCAAGCGCCTCTGAAACGTCGGTAAACTTCTACCAGACCACACGGCGCAACATGCCACAAGACAATCACCTTCATAATCGTCGTCGTGAGGACCTGAAATCTCACCCAGTTGATAAAATAAAGTACACCGGAAAACTTTACATTTTTTTTTTTTTTTTTTTTTTTGGAAAATATGCGTGTGCAAACTGGCTATATGGCTTCTTGCGGCGATTTATCGAATGCGAGGTTCCGGGTTCAAGTGCTTCCTGGAGATTGCTACTCCTACACTTCGCTGTGGCCACAATAACATACCGAATGCAACGCAACAATGGAGCCCACGACAGGCCCGAAGCGATGTCTTGCGGTTAGTAATGCCGCCTTCAGACGTTTGTACAGAAGTTTATTTTACAAAACGGTGGGTCTGTACCGCATTCATGTAGGTTAATGGGCCCCTTTACGAAATATAAGGGCTTTCGTAGATGTAGGTTAGTGGAGTGTGCATTGTTGAGTGATTCTCTTTGTCCTCAAGTGGGGGCGCTTTGTTTGTCTGGCCCAGAACGCGGGTTTGCTTTGCTGCCGAGAAATACTCAGCGTTGAACCTCACACGGGAAACTCCTGCCTTGCAGACCCACTTCTCGACGCTCGTGGTGGCTAAGGCGTGTCAGACGGCCTCAAGACCGACATCGTCATCTCCATCACCGTGAGAACATCAAATTTTTTCGTCTCTGATCTGTTATGTAGCAATTTAACAAAACTGCAATGACTGTGTTGCTATTGACAACTAAAAGCACTTTCACGGGCACATCTGATTTACTTCCTTACCGCCTTTCTGGCGAGTGGCCCAGAGTTCCTGTGAGCGACTACTTTCGAGTGGCGGGAATGTCAATACAAGATCGCAGAAAATGGCCTAATGGCACACATTTATTGCATCTGTCGTGGAAAAATCAGCCTCCAAAAAGCACAGTTCCGTGTCTCATCCAGTATGAAGGAAAGTCTTAAGTCACGACGTGCAGCTAGCGTCTGCTCTGACCTTCGCCGGCCTCTACTGAAAAGTCTGGTGTTAACCACTGTTTCGCTCGTTTAATTTTGGCCCAGCCTGTTTTAATTAGAGTCTTGATAGCCAGACAATCTATAATATTCACGCAACTGATGCGACTTTAAGCCAATTCGGTTAATTTAAAAGGAACAAGCGAAAATACGTCATGGCAACATCGTAATTTTTAAATATCTAATTTCACGCAAAATTGCGTTATGTTGGTGTAAATGACCTGTTGAAAATCAATAAAAAATATTTATTTTTTTGGTAAACTGAACCAAATTATAAGAAACTGAAGTTTTCTATTTGTGGATAATGTGACAGTTATATGGCGTTCTGGACTGTTGCGCCGTGTAATATTTTGGCCCTAAACCAGTGCTGAACCCTGGTCCAGAAGTCACGTCTTGCATAAATGCAATATCATTGTACCCGTCATCAATAGCATCACAATGCTAAGGTATTTTAATAATAGCACTTAAATTCGATTATAAGAGCGATATTTTAATTTATTTCGACGGCGGTTTTAAAAGTTGTCTTCTGGGATGTTGCACCGTGCAGTCTTTTAGAAATTAACCGACGTTTTAGAGGTGTTTTCTGCTTAATCATCCCGACGATTTAGGCATCAACTACCTCTGAAATGTCGGTAAAATTCAATATATAATTGTGCTTTAAAAGGTTAATACACTTCGTGGAATGAGCCCATGAAACAAATAGGAGAAAGGAGAATTTATGAGGAAACGTGGTCACGACCCAATCTGGTGCTGTAACACTTATCTCTGATTCCTCTAACTGCAAGGTATTTCCCGTACCCATATCCGTACGTTACCGCAGCATAATATTCCGAAGGCTGCGTGTGTTTTTTGTGCGACCCTCACAGAGTAATAAGTAGGTTGCTGTAACGGGATCTCCATTCAATTGACGGAGTGCTCGACTGCGCGCAAGAATGCCACACACAAAGAAGCTGAAAGAACTATTAACAGAATACCTGAGGTAAAGAAAGGAAATAAAATTTATTGGTCACCAGCTCCATAAGAGATTTCAATCTGTTTCGGGTTCTCCCAAAACTGGTACAATATTATACTGCATTCCCGAAGGGATCAACATTTGCCAGTACCTACTTACTACATGCTGGAGGAAGTAAAGAGGTTTGAACTAAATAACAAACATAATGATAACAGAATCCAAACTCTAATACTGAAGGCAGAGTTCCTGTTTTATTTTCGAAAGGTCCCATGTTCAAATCTCGATCCGAAGACATGCTATCCTGTCTGGGGTCTTTTGTAGATTTCATCAGACCTCTGAGGCAAATTGTGGGTTAGTACCTCAAATTATGCAGCGATTACTTTCTTACACGTCTTTCTCAACCCCTAGTTTCATTAAATATCCCATCAATCGATGCTATAGAGTCTGAGCTACTGACAGTGTCGTTAAATATACATAAATAAACTGCAGTTTCAATTCTACCAACAGACCACACTTGCCAGCAGGCCATGATTCCCTCCAAGATTTCGCTTATTTCTCAAGCTCCACAACAGTGGCTGATGGTACAATAAAGTCTGCTGGCTGAAGTTTCGGATCTACACAACCAGCAGTTCAATTCGCGTTTGCACGTCTCCGTACGGTAATGCCACTTTAGCACGAAGTTGTCAGTTCAAATTTGTCTGGTGCCGAGACAGCAAAAACGACCGAAGGTTGCGCAACTTCGGGGAACAATGACCTCGTGAACATAACCTTTGGATTGCTGGTGTGCCCCAAAGAGTAAAAGTAAAGACGTCCCGCTATACGCCATGTGGGTCGTTTGGGGGGAGTGGAGGTATAGCTCCTAGTCATTCTTGACCTCGGCACTAGATGGGGTGAGTGGTCAGCATCACGCCCCGGCCGCGCTTTACCCCCGGGAAGGGATCCCGGTACCCATTGGATAGGAGTCTGGGTGGGTCCCAGAGCCGGTCTGGACGCAGAGGCTAAAGGAAAAATCCTCTGCCCCCGTCGGGGATCAAACCCCAGTCGTCCAGCCCGTAGCTAGTCACTATTCTGACTGAGCTAAAGCATTTTAATTCTTGTTTTTAAAAATTATAGCTTGCAAATTATAAACATGGTGTAACGTGTGAGACGTTTCCAGAGACGCGGTAGAGTAACTATTAGTCACGTCCTCAGATGTTCCCGATTTGAGGCAGGGTTCTGTGGCTTTCATACGTGATGGAATGTATGTGCTTGTGGGCTTCTGTCTGACAGCTGACCAGGAAAGGTTATGAAATGGGATTCGGGTGGGAGAGAACACGATATAAATATTGCACCATAACTTTCGAAAGGGGAATGAGGAATACAATAAAATGTCGGTCCTAACACCATTGCCAGCCATGGACACTATTCTGAGTTGGTTCCATTCATCCATCCATTTCTCGGTCTTCCCTTACACGAAATTTTCTTATCAAAACTGTGTTCGCATTTCCTTCCTCCTCCATTCGAGAAACACGTACAGCCCAAACCACTTAATTTCATTGCTACAACAATACCGAGTTCCCTGCATTAATGAATGTACCTAGTTATGCAACATTCTATTCCTTTCGAGTCCAGATATTTTCCTAACTTAGATACAACTGGGCTTTAAAGTGTTAAGCAATGGAGGCACCATGACGTCTTCACAGAATGTAGGACCATTGTTCTCCCCATAGTATTACGATGCATAATGTTAACACAGTAGACGCAGAATTCATTTCCGCCCTTTTTTAGAAACTTCACTGTCAAGAGCACCACTGGCATGTGGCTTCCTAGTCGAGATTGCGACGAGACATTTTCTCCTAGCGAAAGTTTGATATTGTATGAAGATGATGTTGGGGGAAGTAGAAGGAGGTAAATAATTTTTCAGTGATATGCCAAGTCGTCGTGTGATAAATTAATTCGTAGCGACATTTATATTTTTACAAGATTGAACCTGGCGGGGATAATAATAAACACACCACGACGTTTGTAATTCTTGAAGCGAAACACTTCAATTGCTGACGTCAGCGGATCTCAATTCCACTTCGATACGATACAGTGG